CCGGAGAACATGGACAAGGCGGCGCAGCGCTTCCGGCTCCAGGTGACGGCGGGGATTGGGGCGCCGGGTGGGCAGAGGGTGGGAGTATCCCCGGAGCGCTTTCAGCCGCCTGGACGCGCGCAGGTGTGAGCTGCGCAGGTGTATAACTTTCCAGAACCTCTCCTCGCTCTGATGCATTCCGCACTCTTGCCAAGCCAGGTGGGACCGGAGGGAGGAAAAAGAACGAAAGGGGCAAGGCGGGTCGTGGAGGGCCATCTCCGCGCTTCGGCCAGGAGTAGCGCTGCTCCGGGCAGACTATCCATTGTACAATATTGGAACGCCGAAATGCTGCGTGCGAGCCAATAGGATGCTGGGGGTTAGGACTTTTGAGTCACGGTGTGTCAGCCCAGGGAATCCGGACAGTTTAAGAGTTCAAGCTCCTCCTGCCTGAGGATTCTAAAAGGAGCCAGAACACAGGGAGTGACTGGCAAAGCCAGGGTAGAGTGGAAGTCGTCCTTCGTCCCTCTGCTCCTTGCCGCCCTGGCTGCCATGTGCGGTCCCCTCAAACCCCTTCCAGGAGCAAGTTTGGCTCCCTGGGTGGTTTGTCAACAAACTGCACCTGCTTTGCCTCCGGAGCATTTCAGTGTGTGTGTCTGGGGGCAAGGATGGGGCGTCTAGAAGAGGGGGCTTTCCCTCCAGGTGGCCCCAGTTAGGAGCCAACCGGGGAATTCTGGGAGATGTTTTTCTGTGCTGAGGGAGGAAGACTTGGGTCTGACAAGTGGGAAGGCATTCCAGGTGACAGCAGGAGGGAGTTGCATTCAGCAGATGCTAAACTGCAGCGTGCTTTTGAGTTGGGGTAGAGCTTGAACTAGATCCCAGGTGCCAGGCAGGAGTCGCCGGCCTCTCGTGGAGAGCAGCAGGGAAGAGCCAACAGGAAGGGAGACTGGGCCTTGGATGTGGTGAAGTTTTGGCTGGCTGCGATTGCACAAATTTACTCCCCTCCAGCCTAGGATCAGGATATGTCATATTTATTTTTTGAAATAAAAATATATCTGGGTCCAGCCCCCACTTGTCAAACTGGCCGAAAGGACCACCATCAGTCCATTTTCAGGATTCCCTCTTCCCACACTGGGAAGGTCCTGGTTTTCAATAGAAACAGACCATCTCCTCTGCAGGAGCACAGGTTCTTTGCTGTGGACCCCCCCCCACTTCTCTTGCTGAGTCGTGGGGGTGTCCCTCTCAGGAATCCTGGGGTTATCCCAGCTCATCCTGGAGATCCTCGGCTGCTCCTGAGGTCCCGTGTCCTTCTGTACAGCCAGCCGAGTTCTACCAGCTCTAAGAGCTATGTGGGGAGCAGATCTGGGAGTCTCCCCACAGCTCCTGCCTGCAGGACTCCCCTTCCAGGGCAAGGAGCCCGCCTGGCTGGCATGGGTGTGGGGTGGGAGAAGGATGGATTTTCCTGCACTGCCACTCCAAGCATCAGTATCTACGTGTCTTCCCTGTGGAGTAACTGCCCTCCGTTATCTTTAAGAATGGAACCTTCCAGGACAGAAGTTTTGGCTTTGAGTATAAGAAAACTGCACACCCTCCCTGGGGCAGGAGAGCCTGGCCTTGGACACCAGAGCTTGACTCCTTCAGGAGGGGAAGCGGGAAATCATCTTTCGGGGCTTCCAGTGACTTGAAGAGGAAAGAGATCTGTCTCAGGAGCCTCTGCAGTTTTTTCATTGCTGTTTTTGTTTTGTGGGGTTTATATATGTTCGCTAGAGGGAGGGAGAATGAGAAAGCACTTCTCATTGGGAATAGTTGTGCCACAGTCCCTCCTCCTCTTTTCCCTCCTCTTGGGACCCTCGGCACCCATGCACACGTGCCCAGTGTTTCCCAAGCTGTTGGATCCAGGGCTGGAACCACATAGTCAGCCATGTGGGATCCAGGCCCTCTAACTGTGCCACAGGCTAGCCCTTTTTTTTTTTTTTTAAGTTTTATGTATTTGATAGATTGTGCTCAAGAAAGACAGACTGCACCATCTACAGAATCTGTGACCCCTTCCCCAGCCCTCCAGCTTGTCAGGCTCCTGGGCATGCGCAGGTGCGTACAGGCTGGGGATTGGAACTGTCTCCAGCAGCACAGCAGTTTGGTAATGGGCTGCACCTCTGACAGCCTCCGCAGTTGAGTTTTTGGGGGTTTTTTTTGGAGAGGTTTCTGCTATAGGGTGTGTGCGCTCGCCAGAGAGACAGAGAGAGACAGAAAGACAGATAGCGAGAAATCAGCCCCCTGGGGGATGGCCATGCCACAATCCCTTTTCCTCCATTCTCCTCTCAGGATCTTGGGCACGCACGCACACGTGCCCGGTGTGAGTTTAAGCTACCAGGTTCGGGACTTGATCTGCGGTTGACTACATGGGAGTCCAGCGACATAGCCATTACACTAACTACTGGTCCCTAGCCTCTGCAGTTTTTGCGCAAAAAGTGGGGTCCTGAGGATAATAGCATTGTAAGGCCTTGGGGTGGGTAGAAGGTGGGAGTTTCAGCTGAACTCCGCCCACTCCTAAGGCACTTCTGCTGGGCTCTGGAACCCCTGGAGGCAGTGGAGGTGGGATCTGAGACAGGCTTCACAGTCTTTCTTCTGGACTCTCCTGGCCCAACCCTGAATAGCAGGGAGCAGGCAGTCCTTGGGAGACAGTCGTTTGTCATACAGCCCCACCTCAGATTCTGGACAGAGCTAGCTGAGAGTCCGCATACATAGCTGTGGTCCAGGGGGACCCCAGCTGGCCGAAAGGGCGCCTTAAGCTCCCTCCAACTCATCACAAATAGCTCACCTCTCTCTGGACTCTGGAGCAACTCTAGAGAGAGGTGGGCTTCTGGGAACTCTCTGCGGCATGTGAGGATTATGTAACAACCCTGCACCCGTTTTCTCCCTCCTTGCCCTCTGAATGAGTCTGGTTCCTTTTGAGAAGAAAGAGAGGGACCACTGTTAGCAGAGTATCACGGCTTGAGAGCACACACGTCCTCATGGTCTGTGCCTTTGCATGTGCAGTCACGTCTCACCCTGGATGCCTTTTTCCACGTCCCTGATAGCCCACTTGTCACAGTCCACTGGTCTTGCAAATGCCACTTCCTTCTCCTGGATCTGTCGTGCTGGCTCCTGGTCTTCTCCAGGCCTGCCTCGGGCATTGCTTTACAATAAAACGATTCTGGGGACCAGCAGTTGGTGTAATGGCTATGTCTCTGGACTCCCATGTAGCTGACTGTGGTTCAAGTCCCGGACCCAGTGGCTTAAACTCAGCCAGGCGCATGGGTGTGCTTGCCCAAGATCCCGAGAGGAGAATGGAAGAGAAGAGATTGCAGCACAGTCATCCCCCCTGGGGGGGGGGGCGGTGATGTCTCTCTTTCTGTCTCTGTCTTTCTGGCAAGTGCACACACTCTATAGCAAAAGCCTCTCAAAAAAACGAAAAACAAAACAAAATAAAAGATTCTGTGACTGAGATGAAGGAGAGCACGTTTATTGCTCAGACCAGTATCTGTGGTCTGCGTGAGCCAATGAAGAGCTACTGTAGAACAAAAGTGATAAAAAAAAAATTGCAGGAAGAAAAAATGGATGTAGATAGAGGACACCCCAGGAGACTGAACTTTGGATAATAGATGGTTCAGAAGGAGGAGCAATGGCGGGAGGAGGGACAGTGCTTGGAAACTTACACTTGCGTCCCTGCGTTTTCCCAAGTCCATTTCTCCCCTGCTCACAGATCTGCACCTGGAGGCGCAGGCTGACTCTGGTTTCTGAAAGAGAAAATGTCTCAGTGCTGATACTAGTTGAAGACTTAAAAATAGCTGTTAGCAACTGTGTCATCAGCTGTCAGCTGGGGAGAAGAGAGGGAAGAATGGAAATGTGTGCTGAGACTGGAGGGGAGCGTGGGGCTAGCTTCCATGGGCACCTGTGGCAAGACCGGGCATGGGGGAGCTGGTGACCAGACCATCTGGGCTGCATCTCCGTATGGTGTGCTCTCACTGATTTTGACTTTCTTCCCTTTACTTTTTGGCATTTGTTAAAAATAAATAAATAAGAGCACGAAGGTGGCGTGGTAGTTAAGATGCTGGATCCCACATGGCTGACTACAGTTTGAGTCCTAGACTAGACAGCCTGAAAAACACACCAGGCACACGTGCGTGCGTGCCCAAAATCCCGACCTGGCCATCACCCCTGGGGAGTGAGTTCTCCCTTTCCCTTTCTCTGTGTCTCTGTCTCTCTCTGGAAAGTGCATGTACTCTATAGCAAAAATCTTAAAAAAAAAAAAAAAGCACAGATTTATATGATCAGAAAAAAATCAAACAAGCTGTCTGTTTTTCAGTGTGAGATGTGTGTACAGTGTGATCTTTTTGTGCAAGAAAGAAAAAAGATAAATATGCATCGTGGGTTTTTCAGAAACATTTTTCTTCCTATAAGAATTTATCAGGAACTCAGGACCAGCAGATGGTGTGATGGTTACATCACAGAACTCCCACACAGTTGACCACAGTTGGAGTCCCAGACCAGTGGCTCAAACTCACACCGGGCGCGTGTGCGTGCATGCCCAAAATTCAGAGAGGAGAATGGAGTAGGGATTGTGGCGTGGCCATCTCCCCTGGGGGGTGATTTCTTGCTTCCTGACTCTCTGTCTCTCCAGTGAGTGCACACATCCTATAGCAAAAATCTCTCTAAAAAAAAAAAAATTTTAAAAAAAGTTAATCAGAAACTATTAACTATGGTTTCCTTTTCAGAAGAGGAGCTGTGCAGGATGGACCTGGGTGGTCAGAGTGCCCACTCCTCACTTCATGCACCTTTTGATTTCTTTTTAAATTTAAAAATGTTTATTATTTGCTCCACAAGCATGAGAGACAGAGAGATATAGAGAGACAGCACTTCCAACAGAGTCTTGACACCCAGATCCTCCCCATCCTCAGCCAGCCCTGGACCATGATCACATTCATGCCTGGTGTAGTCAGGGAGTTCTCTGAGTGAGAACCCAGAACCTTCCCATGGTCAGCCCCTCAGAGTCTCACATTTTACCTCTGTGACACCATTGCCCCTGTGTACTTTGTGTGTGTGTGTGTGTGTGTGCCATAGGGTGCCTGGGCTGGCCAAAGACAGAGCGAGGGAGAGAGAGGAATCATCCCTCAGAGAGGATGGCCACACCACAATCCCTTCTCCTCCATTCTCCTCTCGGGATCTTGGGCACGCATGCACACGCACCCAGCGTGAGTTTTAAGCCACCAGGGTCTGGGACGCGAACCATGGTTGACTACGTGGGAGTCCAGCGACATAGCCATTATGCTAACTGCTGGTTCCCCAGCCAGTGTGATTTTTCAAGCCTCTGGGTCTGGGACTCCAACTGTGGCTGGCCATGAACCACCAGGCCACCTGCTGTCCCCAACCTTTTAAAAAAATGCATATCAACAGTGGTTATCTGATGTGTTTCGGAAAACGTCTTATTTGTAGCTTCCTCTATTTAAGACAAATCCCAGGGAAGTGTTGCATCAGTTAAACAGTTCAGAGAAGTGCTTCTAATGCCCAGGGCTCAGATTCAAAGGCTGCATGCTCTGTTCTGGGGGTATGGTGGGTGGGAGGGGTGAAAGTGCACTAGGGAGGGAGCAGTCTGGTAGGAACAGGGCCTGGAACTGCTCTGGAATTTGTGGTATGAAGTGATGGTTTTTTTTCAGGGCAAGGCAAGGCCAGGCTGGTCTCTGCACTGTCTGGTCCTAGGGGGGAAGGGCGAGACAGTGGGAGGGCACGTAGGAGGGGAAAGGCTTGGGCAAGGCAGCAGTTAGGTGGTCCCTGTGACCCAGGAGGAAAGGATGAGCCCCATGAGGGTCTTGCTAGATGGGATGGAGAGGGGGTCATTTTCCAGAGTATTGAGGGGACTTCAAAAGTTCATGGACAAATGGAATTAAAGTACAAATTGAGCCAACTGGTTGCCTGGAGGTTAGAGTGACTGGATCACTTAGGCTGAGTGTGTGGTTGGAGTCCCAGATCCAGCCCCTGGAGAAACGTGCCAGCTGTGTGTGCATGTGTCTCCAAAATCCTGAGAGGAAGACAGGAGAAGGGGTCGTGATATGGCCATCCCTTCTGGGGGTACTTTCTCACTCTCTCTCTGGCAAATTAAAAATAAATAAACGTAAAAATTTATTATGGTGCCAAAAGACTTTGTAAGCCATGCCTAGTTTATTCATAATACTCATTTTCCATGAACCTTTTGAAAGCTCTGGTTCCTTGAGGGCTTGGTAACTGATTAGATGCAGGTGGGAGGGAGAAAGAGGAGCCAGAACGTCACCTGCTTTCCAGCCTGAACACCTGGAAGGATGACAGCACCCTTCCCTGCGTGAGGGCGAGGATCCACCGAAAAGTAGACCCTGGAAGTAGGGGAGATGCCAACTTGGAGAGGTGGGCCAGCTGCAGGACTAGCCCAGGGAGCTGGTCTGAGTGCACCTGAGTCAGGCGGGGCAGAAGAGGCCACGGGGCGAGGGCAGCTGGGTCTCACAGAGTGGAGGAGGTGGGGGGGAGGTGAGTGCAGAGCCTGGGCAGTTGTGCATGTGGGGAGAGAGGAGGCAGGGCAGCGAAGGCTTCTTCCAGCCCAGAAAGTCAACGAAATGTGTTCAGAGGAGCCTCGAGGGGCCTCTGCCTCTCCCATCTGACTTTGACCACAGCTGAAATGTCCCCTCCTCAGACCGCCCTGCCCAGCCCATCCAGGTCAGTCCCCTGTCGGTTCCACTGTGGCCCTCTGATTACCTGCCCTCTCCCTTCTCATGGCCTGGCCGTTATTTAGCTGGTTCACTGCTTACATGGAGGTTCTCTAAAACCAGGGACCATGTCTGTCTTGGTTACTTCTTTTTTTTTTTTGAGAGATTTTCACTGTAGGGCGCGTGTGCTCGCCAGACAGACAGAGAGAGACATAGAAACAGAAAGCGAGACATCACCCCCCAGGGGGGATGGTCTCGCCGCAATCCCTTCTCCTCCATTCTCCTCTCGGGATCTTGGGCACTCACGCACACGCGCCCGGCGTGAGTTTTAAGCCACCGGGTCCGGGACACGAACCGCGGTCGACGACATGGGAGTCCAGTGACAGAGCCATTACGCTAACTGCTGGTTCCCTGTCTTGGTTACTTCTTTTTTTTTTTAGAGAGATTTTCACTGTAGGGCGCGTGTGCTCGCCAGACAGACAGAGAGAGACATAGAAACAGAAAGCGAGACATCACCCCCCAGGGGGGATGGTCTCGCCGCAATCCCTTCTCCTCCATTCTCCTCTCGGGATCTTGGGCACTCACGCACACGCGCCCGGCGTGAGTTTTAAGCCACCGGGTCCGGGACACGAACCGCGGTCGACGACATGGGAGTCCAGTGACAGAGCCATTACGCTAACTGCTGGTTCCCTGTCTTGGTTACTTCTGAACTCATGGCCCCTAACATCGCCCTGTGCACACAGCAGGTGTTTGTTGACTGACTACATAAATCAGTGGTAGAATTGCAGCTGGGAGGCAGGAGGGAAGGGAGACATGGAGTAAGGTGAAGTGAGGCAAGTGTTTGTTGGATTTGGCAACAAGGAGTTCCCTGGTGGCCTTGGTAAGAGCAGGGCAGAGTGGGGTGAGAAGCAGTGGCTGTGACTCAGGGTTTACTAATTGGCCTGATACCCTTGAGGGGGATGCGGGTGGTGGTTGCAGGAGCGGCTGACTCCAGATACTGTGGAGCCCAGAGGCCTGGCATGAGGCCACTGCTCAGATGCTCCTCCTCCTCCACTGGCTCTTCCCTGCCCACTCTGCCCAGGGAGCCCACTCACTGCGCTCTGTTTTGTTTAAGCTGGTCCCCACTCTCTACAGTCATCACTTGTGTATTAATGATCTGCTCACCCCATGCCTGCTCTGCACCAGCTCCCGTGGGCATAGCTTTTTATTCACTGCTGAATCCTTTGGCAGGGAGCGGGCCCCCATACATGTGTGTGAATGCACACGGCCTCCCTTTTGGGTGTGGCCTCCAGCTCCAGACCAGCCACCCAGGGTGAGGTCTTCTTGCCTTTGCCCTCCCCTGCCTGGGGCATGGCCACCTGTGCCAGGCAGACCTTTTTGGCCCTGAGAAAGACACTTCCTCTCTCTCAGCCTCTGTTTCTTGATCTGCAATGGGAATGGCAGAAAGATCTTATCAAAACACAGAACGTGTTGGTGCGGAGCCTGGCTCAGTGTAGGCAGCCCTCGGTGGTGGTTGGTGGTTGTGGTTTACCAATCAGCATGGCCGTGGCCTCTCATGGGGCTTGGTCTCCAGCAGGGCTTCTGGAGGAGGGACCCCTGCACTGCCCAGGCTGGGCCATCCTCAGCTGTCAGAGCTGGCGGTGGGCACGTGTACGAGGGATTGCGTGTGAGGTGGGCATCTGCCTGAGTACATGCCGGGACTGAGGGGCACGGCCACATGGCTGTGCCGCAAGCGTGGGCACGTGGGGCTCTGGAGCCAGGGACTAATCAGCATGTCTCCCACAGAACCCTGACCTGGACTCAGAGGCGCTGCTGGCCCTGCCTCTGCCTCAGCTGGTGCAGAAGTTGCAGAGTGGGGAGCTGTCTCCGGAGGCTGCACTCTTCACCTATGTGGGAAAGGTGAGGCTGGCAAAGGCCACCCACTCAGCGGTCCTGGGGCTCCCTCCCCTCCCTCTCTCTGCACAGGCTGTGGGGAAAACCTGGCCTGGAGTCAGTCCCTCTGAGGGCCATGGTGGGCCCGCAGTGCCAGGGGCTGCCAGGAGCGGAGGAGGCAGAGTACTGCGTGTGCGTGTGTGTGTGAGTGTGTGTGTGTGTGTGTGTGTGACACTGAGCATGTTGTCTTAGCTAGGAACCTGGCTTTCAGCCCAGACACCCCTCTCCCTCCCTCACTGCGTCTGGTCTGTTCCCTTCCCTTAGATCTCTCTCCAGTCTCTCTCCTTCTCCATCCCCCTTCAGCCACCCCTGCCCTCCATCCCCACCTCCTCCCATGGTGCAGTACCAGCCTCCTGGCCAGCTGCTCTCTCAGCCTCCAGCCTGCCAGGCCCCTCTTCTGTTCCTCCTCTGTCTCCAGCATCACCCTGGTTGAGGCCTTCTGGAGCTTGGGTGCCTGCAAAACTCCTTCCCTCAGCCCTGCCCCCTCAGTGCCACAGGCTCCTCCTTCAATGAACCTTCAGGGCCCTGAGCTGGAGGTGGATCTTGGGGAGCCTGAGGTAGGGGTTCCCGTGGTGCTCACTGTCACACTCCTTATGAGTGATGCGCTGGTCTTCCCTTTCCTGTGTCGGTGTGGGCTCTCGGTGGAGGGGCTTGCCTTACTTGTCTTTCCCTTGGTGCTGAGGACATTGTTTCACATAGTAAGTGCTCAAGAAATATGTTGGGGGGGGGAACCAGGAGTTAGCGTAATGGCTATGTCACTGGACTCCTATGTAGTCGACCGCGGTTCGAGTCCCAGACCAGGTGGCTTAAACTCATGCCAGGCGTGTGTGCATTTGTGCCCAAGATCCCGAGAGGAGAATGGAGGAGAAGGGATTGTGATGTGACCATCCCCACTGAGGTGTGATTTCTTGCTCTCTCTCTCTCTCTCTGTCTCTGTCTTTCTGGTAAGTGCACACGCCCTATAGCAAAAACATCTAAAAAAAAAAGAAAAAGAAAAGAAAAAGAAATATGTTTGGGGTACTCAGCAGATGGCATATTGGTTAGTGGTTACACACTGGACTCCCACATGGTTGACTGCGGTTCGAGTCCCAGACCAGGTGACTTGGAACTTGCCCATGGGTGTGTGTGTGTGTGTGTGTGTGTGTGTGTACACATGCACCAGTGTATGCACGTGCCCAGAATCCCAAGAGGAGGGTGGAAGATAGGGGATTGCAACTTGGCCATCCCTCTGGCAGGTGATTTCTCACTTTGTGTCCCTCTGTCTCTCCGTCTCTCTGGTGAGTGCACGTGCCCTGTACTAAAAATCTCTCTTAAAATTTAAAAGAAAAGAAAAGGAAAGGAAAGGAAAGGAAAATGTTTGGAAAGAAAGAAAAGCAGGACCAGCAGTTGGCATAGTGGTTACATCACTGGATTCCCATATGGCTAACTGCAGTTCAAGTCCCGGACTTGGTGGCTTGAGACAGGCTGGACACATGTGCATGCGTGCCCAAACACCTGGGAGGAGAATGGAGGAGAAGGGATTGCGGAATGGCCATCCTCCCTCTGGGGTGATTTCTCACTTTCCCTCTCACTGTGTCTGTCTCTCTCTCCTAAGGCAAAAACCTCTAAAAACAAAAAAAGAGAGAGAAAGAGAGAGAGAGAGAGAGAGAGAGAGAGAGGGAGAGAGCAAGTGAGAGAGAAGGCAGGCTGGATGGACGCGTTGTGCTTTATGAGTGTGACTGGTAGAATTTCTTTTTTTTTTTTTAAAGAATTATTCTATTTAACTTTATTTATTTATTTATTTATTTACTTATTTAAATTTGACCAGAGAGGGACAGTGAGTAAGAGAGAGAGAGAAAGAGGAAGAGAGAAAGAGGGAAAGTGGGAAAGCAAGCCACTAGGTCCAGGACTTGAACCATGGTTGGCCATGTGAGAGTCCAGCATCCTTAACCACCATGCCACCTGCAGGCCACAGGATTTTTTTTTTTTTTTACTTAACTTTAATTAATTAATTAATTAATTTTAGTTTGACCAGAAAGGGACAGAGTAAGAGGGAGAGAAGGAAAATGAAAAAGCAAACCACCAGGTCCGAGACTTGAACTGTGGTCAGCCATGTGGGAATCCAGTGTTCTTTAACCACCATGCCACCTGCTGGTCCCTTGACTGGTAGGATTTCTTGAGAGCATGTGAGGGTTCCTGACAGTATTTGAGGGACTGCAGCTGAGGGTACTGGTGTCTCAGCGGCGCTGTTACATCTTCCCCATCGATGTCCCAAAAAAGTTCATGACCTTCCTCAACCACTCAGGAGTGCTCTAGCTGCAGCCTGGCCTCCTCTGTCCCTGCCTTGGGTGGTGGGGACAGACTGCACATGGGGCTGAGGGTGGCAGCACAACCCCACCCTCCCTGTTTCTCTCAGGTGTCTCCCAGGAGCAGGAGTGCTTTTTAAAAGTTTACTTATTTATTTCTTTCATAGGCAAGAGGGGGGGCTGGAGACCCCAATGGGATCTTTTTTAAAAAGCTTTTATTTTTACAATTTCTTATTTTTGTTTAATTGTTGTGTATCTTTGTGGGTTTTTTCAAAGCATGTATGCAGTGTGTGATAATCAAATCAAGGAATTACCATAATCATCATCTTCGACAAAGAATATTATGTCAGACCCCTTCAATTTTCATTTTACTGTGTGTGTATATGTGTGTTTGTGTGTGAGTGTGTGTGTGTATAAAGCAATTGGCATCATCTATTTAAATTGATTTTTATTTATGTTACATTTAATCACTTATATCTTTACAGTGTATAGCATTTCTTTTTCCAGCACTTATTTTTTTTTTTTCTTATTTTCCAGAGGGCATGTGTGCTGGCCAGAGGGAGAGAGAGAGAGAGAGAGAGAAAGAGAGAGAGAGAGATAGAGAGAGAGAGAGAGGGAGGGTGGGAGGGAGGGAGAGGAAGTACTCCTGCCCCACCCCCCACAGTGGGCATGGTCATGCCGCCATCCCTTCCCCATCTGTGTATAAGGATTTGGGGCAGGCATGCTCTTTTTCAGGCTCCAGGGACTGGGATTCAAACTATGTGGTGGCCATGTGGGATCTAGGTCCCTAACCATCAGGCCACAGGGCCAGCCTGGCGATGCTCTCTTTACTCCACTGTGCTACACCATCCCATAGCCTTTTTGCCTTGCTTACATGCATTTGTGTGTCTGTTCATGCGTTTTCCCTGTGACCCTTTCCTCCGTAGGGTCTTGATGCCACAGTCCACCCCCAGCCTTCCTGATCACAGGCACCTGCATGCCCAGCATACCCTGGGAGGGCCCTGGACTTAAGCCGGGAACCTTCCCTTGTGGGATTGGCTCTCAGAGTGTCGTGTTTTATGGCCGCACCACCATCTAGCCCGGAGCAGGGCATTATTCTGCCACAGTCTACCCCTCTGCCGGGTGCTGCGGGGCACGGTTTGAGGGCTCTGGGCACGTGTCTGCTGCTAGCTTGTCATTCCTTTCCATCACACTCCTGCCTCCTCCTGCAGCCCGACAGCCACTCCTCTTCATGACTCAGGGATCGCATTGGAGGGTTCCTAGGACAGGGGAGGCTTGCTGGGGCCAGGTGTGGGCCAGGTGTGGGCCAAGGAGAGAGTGCTGGCTCCGGGGCTAGCCCTGCTCTGCCACTGCCCGCAGCATGATGGGTCTGCCCCTGTCTGTCCTTCCGGGCAGAGACACAGCTGGGAGGAGGGCCACCGGCCATCGTCCTCTTAGCCCTTCTCTGCGGGGGCACCTGAGGCCAGTATCTTGCTCCCTCGACCGCCCTGGCTGAGCCCTGATTCTGGAGTTCTCTCCCCACTCCCTTCTTGGGGTTGAAGGCCAGAGATAGCCAAGGGGATGCTAGGGTCAGAGTCCCCAGTGGGTACTGGGCCCTAAGCACCCTGTGCCCCTGCTCTGGGCCGTGTTCTGGTTACCCTTTCCCTGGTGTGCTTTAAAAGGCTGATTTTATATGACCTATGTTTTACCAGCTTCCCTCTACCTGTGTCCACTTTCTCCTCCCCAGGCCTGGGAAGTGAACAAAGGGATCAACTGTGTGACCTCCTACCTGGCTGACTGCGAGACTCAGCTGTCCCAGGCCCCAAAGCAGGGCCTACTCTATGGTGTTCCCGTGAGCCTTAAGGAGTGCTTCAGCTACAAGGTGTGCCCGCCTCGGCCTCAGGCCCCTCTCCCCGCATCCGTCCCAGCCTCTGCGTCCTGGGACATACTGGACCCTCCGAGGGAGTGTCAGGTCCAGAGGCCGTGAGACGGGACCAGGAGTGCCTTGCTTTGTCTTGTATCCAGCTGGCAGAAGTGGGCCCTGGGTGGCTGCAGGGCTCTGACTCGTCTGCCCCATCCCTCCTCCCAGGGCCAGGACTCCACGCTGGGCTTGTGCCTGAACGAGGGGCTGCCAGCAGAGTGCGACAGCGTGGTGGTGCAAGTGCTGAAGCTGCAGGGCGCAGTGCCCTTTGTGCACACCAACGTCCCCCAGTCCATGTTCAGGTCGGTGCTCGGGCATGGAGGGGCGGAGGTGCTGGGCCAACGTGCCTCAGTTGATGCATTC